GGCGGACATTTCACTCGTTTCAAGAGTAAGAACTAGGCGAAAAAATAGCTAAAAACACGGCAAGAACAGTAAGAAGACAACTCGAAGGGCGACATCTGCTATTTGATATTTGCGTAGCTGGACAAACCTAAACGTACTCTGTCGAAGATGAACTGAACATCGATGGATCGATGGAGGTAAGCATGTTTTAGCTATGTTTTGAAACTTGGAATTATTTTGAATGAATAATAAAACAGTTATTGAATTCGGCTTTCGTATCATATGAAGAATTATGGAGATCTCGGAGGGTGTTATCCGCCTCGGCCTACGGCCTCGACGGATAACACCCTCCTCGATCTCCATAATTCTTCATAAGATACTCAGCCTCATTCATTAACTGTTAAATAAATACGGTAGCCGTTCTCGCGTTTAAGTGTGCGAAAGGGCTAGCACTTAGTGATCGCTTTGTGGCAAGATCTACTGTTCATGATCGCAACACAAGAAATAAGGAGTATCAGGTCAAAGAACTTTTCTATATGTAGAGCAACTTAAACTCTGGAACTCATTGCCACGTGCGATATCACTGCTGCAGACACAATTCCTTTTTGAATCATTTCTTGTCAGCTAGGAGAGTCACCTATTGATGTTTTTCTCTATTGTTGTAATTTTAAAATTTGTAATATTTGTAATATTGTTGTAATTTTAAAATTTGCCATATTTAAAACTTGCCTTATGAATTATATATGCTTATGTACGTTGGGTCTGAAAAACCCTGATTGGGAGATTCAATAAAGTTTATTTATTAAAAATGGTGAAGCGAAAACACAAAATCCTCTGTTATTGTTTTTCTTTCCAAACAATTTTTGTTCAGACCAAATCAAAATATACGTACGTGATTTATTGACCTTTTGCTGTTCCCTAGAACAAAAACTTCAACTGGTTTTTCTGCATGACTCAGACGCTTGGGCTCTTGATGAGTTTTCGAAGAAATGAATTAGAAATCATAATAAGAAAAAGTAATTAATTCGATCAAATATACCGTTTATGTGATTTTAGTGCTAATGAATAGCATCTTTGCTTCAAAAGAGATATTAAAATTTTCATGTTTTCAACTGATTTCCTTTACTTTAGTATTTTTATTTTCAAGTTTGAGATTAAAAACCGTAAGATTACTTGGCCCCTCTTTCTTTTATATGATGCCTCATCTTATGGAACTGGAGAGGTCCTGTCTCATAAAATTGATGGACAATTTCGACCGGTGGCTTTTGCTTCTTGCACTTTGACTCCTGCTCAACAAAACTATTATCAGCTAGAAAAGGAGGCCTTCAGTATTACCTTTGGATTAAAGAGATTCGACAGTATCTCTATAGTTGCTCCTTTACAATTTTAACTGACCACCGACCTTTGCTCAGTCTATTTGGTCCTCAGAGACCGGTTCCTGCCCATGCTGCAGCTCGACTTCAGAGATGGGCTCTTATTCTTGCTTTATACAATTACAAGATTGGGTATCGTAGTACCGGAGCACATGTAGATGCAGATAGCATGTCTCGCCTTCCCTTGCCTCTGAAATGGTCTCCCAAATGTGGAAATGTTGAATGCTATTTTTGGACACCGACGTTGTCACTGATGTAACCAGTCAGATGATCAAGAAGGAGACTCAATTGGATCCAGCCTTAGCCCAAGTGTACAATTACGTCATTAGCGGTTGGCCACATGTAGTGGATTCCAGTCTGGTACCATTTAAAACAAGAAAAGAAGAGTTAAGCACACGGCATGGTTGCTTATTATGGGGTGCTCGTGTTATTGTTCCTCCATCGCTCCAAGAGAAATTGTTGCAAGAACTGCATGACACTCACCCCGGGATCTCTCAAATGAAAGCCTTGGCACGATCTTATGTGTGGTGGCCCAACATGGATTCTGACATTGAATTAACTGTTTCGTCATGTAGCACTTGCCAGTCTGTGAGATCAAATCCTCCCCCAGTTCAAATTGATCCTCGGACCTTTCCAGCACGACCGTGCTCTCGCATTCATGTGGATTTTGCAGGGCCAATCTCTGGCTGTACCTACCTTCTGGTTGTAGATGCTTACAGTAAATTTCCAGAGGTGGTCAAAATGTCTACCACATCAGCTAAATCAACTGTGACCACCTTGCGTGACATCTTCAGTTAGCATGGTTTCTCAGAAATCATCGTGCCAGACAATGGGCCCCAATTCACTGCTACAGAATTTGAACAATTTTGTACCAGCAATGGAATACTACACCGTTCTTCTGCGGCGTTCAAGTCATCTACAAATGCTCAAGCGGAACGTGTCGTACAGATTTTGAAATCAGCTATTAAACAAGCCCACCTTACTATTGCAGATGTAGATGCTGTTATTGCAAATCATTTATTGGTTTACCGGACCACGCCTCATTCCACCACAGGTGAACCACCCTCACTGCTTCTCATAGGCCGGAGACTGCGCAACCGGCTGGACTTGCTGACAACTTCAGCTGAAAAATATGTTGAGGCTCGCCAATACATTACCCTGCTGAGTCGTAATGCACATAGAGGTTTCCGCACGTTCAGTGCCGGCGATTCTGTTGTGGCTACAAATTTTGGAAGGGGAGGAAAATGGGTGAGCGGAGTAGTTACTGAAGTCCTTGGTTCTCGTCATTATATTGTCAGGTGGCAGGTAATCTGTGGAAACGACACATAGACCAGCTGTTGAGACGCCCTACAGGGCCCAGTTGTTCGAAGACCGATTAGCGCTTAACCCAGGGTTAAATTTAACCCGGGTTTCTTTTTCTTATGCTCAAAAACATTTTCTCGGGTAATTTTCTCTGTTATTTTTAAGAGTATCCAATCATCAACTTCTTGACAAAAAGAATTAAACTGAATCTTCTTTTTAAGCTTTCAAATCTGAATTCAAATTTCGCACTAACCCTGGGTTATCTTAACCCAGCTTTGAACAACCCAGCCCAGATGTGGCTTCGACGGGTGGCTATTTAGCATCTGAATACCGGTCTATGCCTCTTGATGTTTGTCCTGATATGGATTAGTCTTGTGATATTGTTCCCGACTAAACTATACATGTACCGTCTACTTATATCCATCCTACAGCAACATTGGATGAGTCCATTCTGGCCAGAACTGGGGATTCTAGTGTTCAAAACAAGCAACCAATAGTGTCGATGCCTGTTACCGACCCCCCCACCCCCCCGTGATTTCTCAACCTGCTCCTTGCCAGAGATTTCTCATTCTGCTATTGTCGATGACACCCTGGTAGTTCAACCGGGTTCTTTATGTGAATATCCTGCAGATACGGAAAAACGTTATCCTACTCGGACAACCCATAGGCCCCCAAGACACTGGAAAGATTACGAGTTAAAGTGATGGCTGTAACTGGCTCAAAACGTTTTGCTTTTTTATCACGTCTTTTCGAATTCTATTTTATTTAAAAAAGGGAGATGTTATATAGCGACTTTGTTTTGCTATAGTTGTTACATTATACGAAGTTACGTCATAGTTGTGTTACGTGTACATGGATGCGCCTGCGCAGGAGTGAGAACTAGAAATAAAAGAGACTAGAATGTTCATGATCACTGCTCGTTTTGTTTCATAATTTCGTCCTTGGATTTCTAAGTTACAACATATACATATACATAATATTGAACGTAAAAATCAAATAACATATCTGGGTGTATATATTGATCAACATTTACAGCAGGGACCACAGATTCAACACATAAACAACAAGCTAGTGAAAAATGGAGGCATCATTAATCAATTAAGATATTATGTAGATCTTCATACTTTAAAGTGGTTGTATTTCTCCTTCATTTATCCATATTTAACTTATTGTATTACACGCTAGGGCAGTGCTTGTAAGAACAGGTTACGTAAGATTAAAACTTAACAGAATAAATGTGTTCGTAGCTTGTTCTTTGCTTATAGCAGGGACAATGCTATGCCATACTTCAATCTTTTAGAAATTCTTACACTTGAAAACATTTACAAATTCAAAGTAGCCCTTTTCACGCATAAATTTACAAACAATGCAACAAACGTCCCTACGATATTCAAAGGAACCTTTACCCTAGCCTCTGAGGTTCATAGTCACATCACCAGCTTTGTATCCAACCTTAATTTTCATCGGCCAAGAATAAACAATAATTATGGAGCTATAACTTTTACTTTTGTTGGGCCAAAAATATGGGAAAAAATTCTCTCTAAATAAAAAAAAAGCTCCCGTATAACAGCTTCTATAAGCAATACAAAGTGTACCTTTTAAATATCCAGAGAGTAATTTGATTTCACTGCCCTAACTATCAATAATGGCTTCCATTGTTTTCTATATAAAATTGTAAGCATAACTTCATGCACTTTTAATTTCCTGTCTCAGTTATACGCTATCTAAATAACTACGCCAGTTAGTTACTCGTGGTAGTGACCAACTCGAAAGCCTAAGCTCCTTTGATCACTGCTCACATTCCATCTTTGATGTTTTATGTAATTTTGTTGTTTTAATTTACTTTTGTGATTTTGTAGTAAACTATTGAAATAGTGCAATAAATAAAAAATCTGAATCTGAATCTGCAATCCGCTAATAATTGTAGCCTTTAAGTCTGATATTTTATTTACGAAAATATTGACATGATTAAGTGAAGTACACAATTTTTTAATTTTTCGAATTTTCTAAATTAGTAACGGAATAGTCTTCTTGATGAGCAAGTGCAACATATTAACCAAAAAACCGATCTGAAAAATTTTATTTATAAGGAAAGCATGTGGAACTGTGTAATTGCTGTGAAAACCATGCTCTCATTTGTACTGTGTCTATTATACGCGTGCTTAATTCTCCCCTCTGTTTGCTAACAGTCTTATTTCTGATATTTCAAACACGTGTTGAGATGTCATCCATGGGTTCCAGTTCTGGTGAATTAAATCTTGGATGTTGAGGTTTTGGAGAGAAAGAACCACCCAAGTCTCTGTCAGTAACCTGAACGGGTTCGATGCAAACAGAATGTCGTCGGCATCTTCTCGACAATTTCTTCAAAGCATCCTTGAATATTACCATTCTAAAGCTGTAGACGATCGGATTGACCATAGAATTTGCCAGATGAAGAACATTTACAAGCGACATTACAATCGGTCCAACACATGGTGGGCGGCAAAATGGTCTGGCAGTGTACACAATAGTCGCTGGCAACCAAAACACCAGTGACACAGCGATAACTATGAAAACTGTTCTTGACAGTCGTAAGTTGCGTTCAGCTGTCTGGCGAGCGTGCATCTCTTCACCAGGAATGACGTTTGAGCGCCATTTTCTACGTATTTGAAGGTAGCTTCCACAAATCGCTAATAGTGCTATGAAAAGGCACGCATGAATGGTTAGAATAACGTATTTTCTCTCTATTTTGGTATGATATAAGGATAATACAGACAGCCCAAAGAAGCAGAATCCAAGACCCCAGACAGCGGTTATGACGAAAATGTAAGACCGAGTGCTAGTCGTGCGGTGATGAACAGGCCACAAAACGGAATAAACACGTTCCAAGGAAATAAGCGCGAGAAAAAGCACTGAAGTACTCGACGCAAGAACTTGAAGTGCAAATGTTGGATTTGTAAAACTTTTCTCTTTACCTGGAATGGCCGTCATCTTAGCAATCTTCGCTGTGCCCAGCACAATTGGTTCGGCAATTCCCACAAGCAGATCAGAAACTGCGAGGTTAATAAGAATGGAATATGTTCGCTTTAATCGGGATCGCTGGGTCCAGAAGACAATTATTGTGAACGTGTTTCCAACAATGATAACGAATGCCTCCAATGTATAGATGACAATTAAGAAGGCAGTAACAGTCGAAGAAAACATCTCTTGGCTCTTTCTGTGATCTGTGAGGAAAACAGTATCGTAAGGGTTATACACTCTTTCTTTTTTTCCTAAAAGAATCTATTTTATAAGAATAATGAGGCTGAAACTTTCAAAATTTTAAGAATATTTTAAGAATAAACCCGAAAAAGGAGGATTATTTTGAGTGATGAAAATCTGAAAAATATGTTATTAACTTAGCCGTACCAAATTATTGCTTCCTTCCACGGCAAAAATACCCAACAAAACGCAGAAACCTGCATTGGTTATAGCCAAATGTTCCGTGCTAATGACAGTTCGATGAACTGTACATGAAATATATGTCTGTAGTATACAGGGAAAAAAATATGGACAAACCGCTAAAAGGATATGATAAATTCTTTCTTTTTTATTATAATTCAAGTATAATATAAGAATATTTTCAGGCGAAAATCGGCAGAAAATAGGAATATTTACTTTGGCCCGAAAGAACAACATTCTTATATAAAACAAAGGAGGGTAACTATACCTAAAAATCAGAGAAATAAATGAATATTTCCGTTAGGTCTACTTCGTCTCCTTAACTAGTCAAAACTTGCTGAAAGCTTCCATTCATTCCGCAACAAAAATTGCAAACAAATAACCATGTTTATAGGATTTTTACAGGCTGTAGTAATGAATTTGCGTCTAATAAACAATTATTTGATGAAGCTTTTGTGATATCCGGAATGATCAAGGTCGAGATAAGTGTTATCAGCCAAGACGTACACGTACCGAGACCTTGATTATTTAGGATATCACAAAAACTGAATCTGGTTGGCACATAAAATGGAACGGACCATTTCGGTTTGGTCCGACCGGAATATTCGGGACCAGCTTGGAAGGTGGTCCACTTTGACCGGTCTGGTCATTTCGGTTGGTCGGACCGAAATGTCCCTTTCCATTTGACAAAAAAATGTTACCCCCAGTACCGCACTTTTGTATCCTACTTACAAGAACAGTAACTAAAAGCGAAGGCTTGGGTCAGGTCTTTGCAACCGGAATGTACCGTTCCATTGGGCACGTGAAATTTCCGAAATTTCAAACCGTAATTTTTGTTGAATGGAGAGCACCCCTTGTCACCTCCGGCATCCCCATTTGTTGCTACTTTGCGAGCAACAAATCTACCTGTTTCTACTCGCTTCTTTTCGACAAAGGGTAGGAGGGGTGCTATTATATAGTTAATTCCGCTTTTGTCAGTCTGTGATAACATGGACTTTAAGAGCCAACAACGCGGGCGGCAACGAGAACGTCGAAAACCTATAGGTTTTATGAGCAAAACAACAACCATGCACGTGCATCACACTTTTTTGTACATTTCTTTTCCCGTTTTTGCACGACTACGACGTGAAAATGCCTAATTTCGCGTTTTATGGAGAACGTAAACAAGCAACGACGAAATTTAATTTCTCGTTCTGAACTTGGATATTATCCCTAGGAATTTAACTCCAGGAGGGTTCTCCTTCATTTGACAAAGTAAGTGGGTAGGAATAGTTGCGATAAAGACTGAACGAACGCAAATTCATCTTTTTTAGGCGACGTTTTCGATGTCGTTACGTCGTTGGATCTTATAATCCCTAATGTAATACAAACTATGATGATGATTCCATGCAACTTTTAGTTCATAAAAAAAAAATGTCAGCTATGAAACCTAAAAAAGGTCAGAGCGTAAAACCAATCTTACCGCCTTCTCTGTTCCGGTTTATAAGATGGCCTCATTGCTGATTATCGCTGCCTTTAAAATAGGTCATTGAGCTCTACCGAGCACATTATCAAGTATCCGGGTCTTTTAGGGCCTGTTTACATGGAGGTGGGGGACCTCAGGTGGGTGAGGTAACCCGCTTAGGGGTGTAACCCGCCTGTCCATATTATCTCTCATTCTAATTTGATCACGTTTTCATAATAGGTGGGGTGACCCGCCTCATCTAACCTCACCTGCTTGGGGTCCCCCACCTCCATGTAAACAGGCCCTTAAACGCAGTGTACTTGCCATTTTAAAGCTCAACAATTGTAAGCGTAAATAATTGTCTTTTTATAGAGCGAATATCAGCAAGGCATATTGCACGCAACTATGTACCATTACAATTTAGGGCCTGTTTACATGGAGGTGGGGTCCCCAGGTAGCTGAGGTAACCCGCTTAGGGAGGTAGCCCGTTTGTCCATATAATCTCTCATTTTAATTTGATCACGTTTACATGATAGGTGGGGTGACCCGCCATATTTTACCTCACCTGCTTGGGGTCCCCCACCTCCATGTAAACAGGTCTTTATAAAATAGCTAAAATAGTACGCGCGCTCTGATTGGTCGATAGGAGTGTTTGTATGAGAGTATGTAAACATGGTTGTGGCGTCAAGATCAGGGCGGATAAATGTAACCTTTATCCGCCCTGGTCAAGATGTTTTGCTTTTCGCGTGCTAATCACGCGAGCACGAATTTGAAAAAGTTTTCGAGTTCAAAACTCGACAAGTTTACTTTATTTACTATACCCATTCCTTCGTCGGCTGAAACTTGGAAAATCGTCACAAAGAAAGTGTCACTTTTTTTTCAATTAAGCTGACATTTTAAGCGAGAAAAGTCCGTATTTTGGAAAGCATCTTTTTGCAAAACAAGAACTGATTACGCGTGCAAGACTTCGTAGACAAGACTTTGCGACTGGTAAGAATTTCTCTTTTAATCAGTGCCATGCAAAGAGTTTTGCGTTTTGTTTCGGGAAAGTTATTTCATAATGAGCAATAGAAAACGTTTTTGCTGTGTTTGCGTAGCCTGATAGAAACACTCGAGGCGTTGGGAGAATTCTTGACAGTTATGCAAACCCTCGACTTCGTCTCAGGTTTGCATAACTGTCGAGAATTCTCCCAACCCCTCTCGTGTTTATATCAGGCTATGAAGACACGGGAAACGTTTTCTATTGCTCAACTAATATATTACACATCGAACTTTTGTGCTCACCCTAACAACACTGTTATGATAGCCGAATAATAATAAAGTAAAAAAAAAAAAATCCAAACTTGGCTTATTATTTTTTTTTGTGTGGATATTTCTTTTCTTATATTTCAAATTGGTATACATTTTTTAACTATATAAGTATTGGAAAAAATGTTTCCAAGAAGCCTAATCGATGCCTTGTCTTCATGGGCCTCGCATAAAGGAGGTCGTGCACAGTTTGTGAATGAATATTGTATATTTCAGGGGCACCCAACGAGAATATAGTTCAAAACCACTTAAACATAGCATTGTTAAACGTATTTTAGTATTTAAACGGTAGATATAGGCATATTTTTATCCCTTATAATTTTTCATCTGCTCGCATTTCCTAACGAAAGTCTTGTGACCCGAAAATTATAGGGATCAAAACTTACCTTTTCGAAAATTTCAGCCCGAAAAAAAGGCTAACGAAATTCTAGGTGACCTTTTTAGGGTAAAAATCCGTTAAAAATGGGCAATTATACCATTTTTTAGATGTTCGAAAATCATTGTAGAGGCAGGCAAGCAAGAAATTTTACAGCAAATGTTCCGAAAATTCTAGATCTCATACCGTCTTCCGAACAGATATTTTCCGAAAATTGACGTTGGGAGCCTCTGATATTTAAGGACAAAACTCAAATCTCTTTCATTTTCTTATAGTCAACAACTATCATATCTCCTTCATAGAAAATAAGAACCTAATTAAATAAGTGCCCCAGAATACAACAAAAACTATTTTGCAAGACTTAAGACTGAAGTAGGTTCTTATACGCGGGTGTTAGTACTTCAGTAACATTAATGGCTCCTGATAAGGTTGGTTCTTCGCGCGCATAGAAACAGCGATAAGCGAAACAGTGTGACTGCACTGCAATAACAGGTTTTTCTGACTTAAATTGAGACATAACACTAAATGCCCGGCCTATGAAGCATGAGATTGTGAAGAAAGAATCGGTAAAAAAGATTAAGAAGCTCTGAATAATTTCGAGCAAAAGAGCGAAATGTACAAAGGCCTTAAAGTACAACAAACAAACTTTTTTTCCCGAAACTAGGCTATTTTTGCTAATATGAGAAGATCTTATCAACCGAAACAAACATTTTCGCACCTCGCTAAGGTGACCTATTTATTCTAAACTTTATAGCAGCTAAGTGTAATTAAAACAGAAATCTTTTGTTTGTCTTCCTT